GGCAACTCGAAGCAGCCCAGCTCCAAGTTGAGCTGTTGTTCACCATCTTAGCTGTAGAGGGCAGTGTCACTGGCCCTCATGTGAGATCCGAACCGGGGCCCTGCTGCTCAGAGCTGGTGTCCCAAGCCAACTCTTAAGCAACACGCCACTCGGCTGGCCCTTAGCCGCACTACTCTTGTTTAAAGAACAGTACTCGTGAAGTACTAAGTATTTTATTTAACATTTAAGTATCTTCACCTTAAGCATGTTCAGAACCAAACCATAATTAGCTTGCCTGGTGCCCTCAATTAGGTTACAAAAGGCAAGTAAGTTGCTTCAGCGGACAAGAGTCCCCTGATTTTATTGTCTCTGTGAGGATGTTTTCCGCTCCAAGTAGAGGAAGCTCAGCTCCTAGTCGTTTAAACAGTAAGGACATTTATACCCAGAAGTACGGACAGAGGGCAGATGGGATTCAGGGCTCATGAGTGCAGCGAATGAACAATGTCATCCAGGACCCAGGTCCCTTCCATCCCTCTGCTCTCCCAGTCACAGTGTCCTAAATCTGGTGCCCCGTGAGTTGTAGGGTGGTCACCAGGTAGCAAGGCTCCCTTGTTCTTTCATGTTCAGAAGTGGAGAAAGGCCAGCTCCGCAAGGCTCTTTGCTAAAATCAAACATCTTCCTCACAGCCCTATCAGACTTCTCTTATCTCATTGGCTGGTTCAAGTTCCTTTACACCTGCTTGTCCCTAAAACCAATCACTGGCAAAGAAGGTGGGATTTCTGTGATTGGCTTAGCCTTAAATAAATCCAAGTCAAACACCTTGATGGCACTGCTTCCTTGCATTAGAGAGGAGAGGTGTGGGTGGTGTGAAGTTCACTGCCATGTCCACACCATTCTTTGCTGAACAGGACCTGACTCCATCAAGTGACGGGAGAAAGGTTCTACGACAAGTGCCCCATATCCATTCCTATCCATTACTGACTAGGAGGAGCGGTGTTTGTACACAAATTTCGGACCTCAAGATGGACTTAATTTTATGGTTTACTTTGCTAACGTCAAATAGAAGGAAAGAAAGATCCCAAATTTGGCCAAATTTCCCCCCTCTTTCCTTTCCAGAGATAAGTTTGGTCCTGGTCTAGGAGAAAGATCTTAGAATTGTGGAGGAGAAAATTTCTTTTTATCCCAAGGGCGAGTCTAATCCATGTCCACTTCGACTGAAATTCAACCCTGTCCCTCCTAGATGGCCCTTGCCCAAGCTGGCCAAAAGCCATGTCAGCCAACACAAATGCTCATGTTTTCAGTTATTTTTGTGACTTTCGTTTTCAGGCCAACGTTTAGAACAATAAGATTTTTAAGGACAGGAAGTAAGTATGGTGTCTCCATATCCTCTTCCCTTAGTCATCTGGAATTTAAACAGGCTTCGTGCTCCAGAAACCTGGTGAGAGTTCATAGTTCTGTGCCCGTTAAATGGCCGGGTAGAGCTCATTCCAGGATTTGAAAGGAGCCTGTCATATTCCACCAAAGGAATCAAAGTCTTCTAGTTACCACGAGAATAGACCGCCTCATTCTGGGCAAGTCGATGACACTGGTTTCTCAATAAAAATGGCATTTCTCCTATAGAAAAGGTTGTAGCCATTCATTCAACCAACACTTACCGAGCACCTGCCAAGCACTGTGCTAGGCCCTGGGGATGCCGTAGAGGCGAATGAGATGAACGTGGTGTCTATCCTTGAAATTTCAATGAAAAGGGTAGTCAACACACAAACCAAAAAGAAGATAATTATGGATCCCGATAATTGTGAAGATAGTAAGCAGAGATGTGATGCAGAGTAAAGGTATGTTAGAAGTATATCAAAGGCTGTTCTGAAAAGGCGACTCTTAGAGATTTTTGGCTATTATAAGATCTCCCATCGCACATGCTCTCTTTACCATGTGACACTGAGAGATGAGGTCCCTGTTCCCTCCCTTTGAATCTGGGTAGGCCTGTGACTCTGGTGGAAGTGATGTTCTCTGTCTTCTGAGACTAGGTCATAAAAGATGGTATAGCATCTTCTTGCTTCTCTTGGGACATTCCCTCTTAGAACCCAGCCACCTGCACTGTGAAGGAGCCCAGGCAGCCCGTAGAGAGGCCCACGTGGAAAGGAACCAGACCCCAGCCCACAGGCCTGGCTGGGCTCCCCGCTAACAGACAGCCAGTACCAATTAGCCAGGCATGAGATTGAGTCATTTGGGAAATGACTTCTGCAGCCCTCCAAGCTGGAGTCGTTACCCCAGGTGTAGCCACAGGGAGTCCAAATGAGCCGTCCCCTGTGAGGCCTGCCCAGATTGCAGATTTGTGAGCAAATAATGTTCTTTTTTTTTTTTAAGCCATTACATTGGGAGGGGGCAATAGTAATGTATACAAAAATTCCCCCAGTCTAGACTTTGGAACAGCCTACTGGGGGGAAAGTTTGGGTCTGTAAAACAAGACACACTCTCAAGTCCATGTTAAAAGGGGAGAAGAAAAAGATTGAAATACCTGTGTTTAGAATTTTTTTTTTAAAGATTTTTATTGGGGAATTGGGGGATGGGAACAGCGCTGGGGAATTGGGGGACAGGGAACAGACAAGTTGCTGTCCTTTGTTCTTCAGTCTAGTTGTGGAGGACATTGCTTCACTGGCCCAAGTTCGCACCATCATTGAGCTCTTCCCGGAGGAGGCAGATCAGTCGCCGGCTTCTGGACGGCCGCTCACACTGGCTGCTGGCTACACACGGTAGCCCATGGCAACCCACTGGGGCTGCAGCCTATGCCGTCGCTGGCGACTTACGGCAGCCCAGCTCCAGGTTGAGCTGTTGTTCACCATCTTAGCTGTAGAGGGCAGTGTCACTGGCCCTCATCTGTGGGATCCAAACCGGGGCTCTCTGGCGTCCCAAGCCAGCTCTTAACCAACACGCCACTCGGCCGGCCCTGTGTTTAGAATTTTTGATAGATTCACTCTGCCTAGTTGATGAAATGGTTCAATGGCGAGCAACTCACTCAAGTTTCCCTGTAACTTTTCCAGCTTTAGCAGTGAAAGCTCCACATCCTGGGTACTCCTTCAGTCTTAGGGGAACCAGGATGAGTGGTCGCTCTGGTTGCTCTCAACCAGGTTACTCATCCCACTTCCATGAGGAGGATGTGAGGGTTTGGAAAGAGGCCAGAGTGTTTACGGAAAATTACTCTCCATGGAGAGAATGATTAGAGAAGACTGTGCCCCTAATAGTGACTTTTGAACCAGAAGCCAAAGGAGCTAACATGCAAAAACCAGGAGAAAAACATCCCAGAAAGAGGGAACGTCATATACAAAGACCTGAAGAAGGAAAGGGTTTGACCTCTGCATAGAACCACTACCGCAACAAAACGCTGTGACTTCTTAAGTCAAAATGTAACGCTGTTGAAGAAGTATCCAGGAGCCAAATCAGGGGTGGCTTTATGAAACCATGGCAGAGAGAGTGCAAATTTCCGTTTAAGAAAAATAGGACTGGGGTGACCAGTTAGCTCAGTTGGTTAGAGCATGGTGCTAACGCGAAGGTTGCCAGTTCGATGCCCACATGGGTCACTGTGAGTTGCACCCTTCTTAAAAGAATCAACTATGCCATTGTAGCATGAAAGCAATGTGTAACCAATGACCATGGCTGTTCCAGAATAAAATTTAAAGAAAAGCAAAGAAAAATAGGACAATACTGAAGAGTTTTAAGCAGGGGAGTGATAAAATCTGGATTACATTTCTCAAAAGCTAGCCCTGGCTGTAGTGTGGAGAATGGTTTGATAGGATCAGAATGGAAGCGGCAAGTCCAGGGCAAGACATGACAGCAGCTTGGGTTAGGAAGGTGGAACCAACAGGCCTTGCTGATGGGTTGGACACAGGTGAGCAGGGAAGGGAGCGATCCACAGGATATACTGGGTTTTTGGCTTGAGCAAGCAGGTGACGAGGGGTGTGATTTACAGAGATGAGGAAAGCTGGAGAATAGTTTTATTGTATGCTTTCGGTCTTGGATGTGTTAAGTTTGAGATGCCTTTAGGACATCCAAGTGGGCGGTAAGAGGGGGCACGTGAGCTCGGGAGTCAGGCTGCCTGGGTTTGAATCCAAACTCTTCCACCAACTGTATGAACTTGGGCAAGTTACTTACCTTCTCTTTGTCTCAGTTTTTGTCTCTGTCACTTGGAGATAATAAAACAACTATTGGAGAAGTACCTAGGAAATGATGACATATAATGATCCCTCAATAAATGCTGGCTGTTGATATATTTGAGTCTAGAGCTCATGGGAGGGGTCACAAATGGACGTAAATCTTGGAGCCAGCCTATAGAGAAGGTGTGTATAGCTAATGTTGCAGGGCAGCCCACATTTCCAACCTTCTTTCCCTTTCTCTACTGTCAAGGCTAAATGTGGATCCTAGATTCCCCAGGCTCCCTTGCAGTTAGAAGTGGCATATGACACAGTTTTGGACAATGAGTGTAAAGAGAAATCTGATGAAGTGATAATGGCAGGTGGTGCTTTCGTTTCTTTCCCACCTTGAATGCCCTGGCTGCAAACCCAGCAGCCAGCTCTTGACAGTGAGGTAAGGAGCAGGAATAAGAGGCCACGAAAATCATAGAGATGCCACTTCCGTTTTATGGAGTTGCCAAATGATCGCCAGCAACCACTTATCCCAGGACTGCTTGATAGGTAAGAAAAACAAACCTCTATTGAGACCATCAGCGTTGGGTTTATTGAAACATTATTTGCAGCTGGTACTATAATTCATCGTGAGTTTGGAGGCGATCAAGGCCTTGGTCCTTAACATGTAGGCAGAGGAAAACATGTGGCCCGGTCTGGGGCATGTCCTCCTTTGGAGTTAAAAGTAGGGGAGAAGGGAGCCCCAAGGAAAACTGATGAATTTCCAAGAGCGGTAGCTCAAAGGCAGGAGCACGCGGCGAAGGAAGCCAGGAGGGCTTCTAGGAGCAAGTGTGTGGGGTGCTCCCGCCGCTCCGCCTCGCGGCCCCGCCCAGGTCCCGCCTCCCGGGCCCCGCACTTAGGGCCGAGCGCGGGCAGCCTGCCCGCTCGCCCGCCGGTGTCGCCCGAAGCCCCGCCATGCCCGTCGATCTCAGCGGCACTTGGAACCTGCACAGCAGCGACAACTTCGAGGGCTACATGCTGGCCCTAGGTAGGCGGAGGGGCCCGCGCCGCGCAGGGGCTGTAGAGGGGCGGTCGCGCCCGTCTCGGGGTCGGGGCCAAGGCGACCGGGCCTGTCCGTCCGTTTCCCGGTGCAAACTGACCCCTGTCTGCCCTTCCCGTGTCCCCCGACCCCCAGCGCCTTTCCTAGACTAGTCCAACCTCCATCACCCCGTCCTTCGGTCTCCCCCATGGTCCCCCGCCCGTCAGCCTGCCAGTCCGTCGGTCCACGCCCCGCGTCCCTGTTCTTTCTGTCTCCCCCGTCCGCTGTCCCGCCGTCCGTCTGCCCACGTCCCCGTCGGTCTCCGCCCGCCCCTCGGCCAAGGCGCCCACCGCGGACAGCTGAGAAGGCGCCAGCCACCTCGCAGTGGGGCTCGCGGAGCGGCGGCCCTAGCCCGGCAGCCCGCCGCGCGACTCCTGGAGCCCCGGGGCGCTCCCAGCGAGGTCCCCGGCCGGCAGCATCAGCGCCCCCCGGGGCTTGTCCTGGCGGCGGCCAGGTTCACGAGCTCCCCGCCCCTCGATGTTTCTGGTGCCCGCTAGTTTCGGGAACCGGGGTTGACATCTTTAGCTTTCTGACTTCCCCTTCTTCCCTCGAGGACTTTGAAGGGGGACTAGAAACCCGGGCCCCTTAGAGGCCGCCTCCCTCACTCCCCGCCCCCGGGACGCAGTTGCAGGCGGGAGGAGCGTCGGCCGGTGCCTGCAGGGGTCGCTTCCTTCGCCGCGCGCTTCGGGAGGCGCGGAGCGAAGGGGACACGGCGCCGTTAGGGGTGTGTCGGGGGCGGAGGGCGTCTGAGCAATGCCCTCGCCTCCCAGAGGGGCTCGAGAATTTGCTTCCTGCCCTGATCGTGGAAGGCCTCCCTTCCTTACCGAGCCCCAACTTATCCTGCCTTTAGTCTCATTGTTCAGATTTGGTGGATCCGAGCACCTACTACGCGCCCAGCGTTTTTTTGCGTAAATGGCACCTTTGACAGATGGGCCAGAACTGTTAGGAGTATGGGGACCTGGGAGCTGCTCTGGCTCCTCGTCCTTTTATTTGACACTGGACCTCAGTTTCTCCATTTGTAATCGAGGGGGGCAGAGAGGGTGTCCAATTTGTTGTGGTTAATATACATGTAACATAAAATTGGCCATTTTTAACCATTTTAAAATGTACAGCTCTGCGCCCCGGTGTGCTTTTAAGCTCTCTTAACCTGTGGTAGTAATCCCCCCCACCCCACCCCACCCCGCCTCCCTTTCTCACACTAAGTAAGAAAGTCTGGAACGCCTCAAGCTAAATCTGATTTAAACTCACACAAAACCTGGTAGGGGAGGAAAACGTTTCTTTCTTCTGCCCATCTGAAGTTCACTGGCTTTGTAAATTAGACTAACAAAAGACAGATTAATAAGAGACAAACAAGTTTAACACATGCGTTGTCAATACACACAGGAGCACTCATTGATGAGTATCTCAAAGGGGTGATTAGAACTTGAGCTTATATAGCATCTTAGCAAAGTAATCATTTTGTAGAGAAGTGACAAGACAAAAGGACTTTGAGTTTCAGGGGTGGCAAATCGTGGGAAAGTAACTAAAATATATGAGGGAGCTAAAGGGACAATAAGGGCTAGTTAGTAAAGTTTATTATGTAGAATCTTCGGGTGCCATCTCCAGGCTGATAAGAGGCTAGAGTCTCTCCCTAACTTCTGTCCATGCTGGTACAGAGGCAAGGGGGTGTGTGTGTGGGGGGGGGGGGGGGCTGAGGGAAGTGTGGGGGAGAGACTGTTCCACTGTGTGATGGCTGTCTGTCCCACAAGCTGGCCCCAGGCCAGAATGGAGGTTACTTTCTACAACCCCCCTTAGAGACTGTCTGATTGTAATTGATGTTCATTCTGACATAAATCAGCACCCCTCCGCTGCCTCCCACTACAGGCTGGTTTCTGGAACATCTTGTTGTCCTGACCTGTTTAAGCATGTGATCTCCGTACCTGGTGGTATTCACCGATTGATAACTGTTACTATCCCCCCTTTACCTTATATAATTCTTAGGTGCCTGCCAAGGGGTTTGGGGATGCTTTCCGTCTTGCAGCTACCCAAGACATGCCTTGTTTGTAACTTTCCCTTAATAAACTATTATCAGGTTGGAGTGGCCAGCCCCTTTCTTTGGTCTCTCCTCTCCTCCATTTACGGAGGTAGGCTTTGAGTTTCCGGGCTTTTCCATGGGTCTGTGTGTACAAACAGGAACACCTTTACAAATTTATGTCTTGCTTTTAGCCCATGGGAAAGGCAGAGAGCTTTTCTTCTATCTGCTTCTTCCCAATTATCTTTAGCTCAAAACAACCTATCTGCCAAACTGGCTTATTTTGGGTTGTTCTGCTACCCTTCAATCTCATTTCCTGTTTCCATTCGTAGGAAGAAACTAATGCTTAATTTTCCCAAAGGCAGTAAGTTCTGATATTTTACTTATCTCCCCACCCCAAATTAGTGGTGACATGTGACCATTTCTTCCCTGGTTTCTCTGGCTACTTGTGTGGAGGAGAAAGGGTTAAATATCAGGTGATGGCTTTGAATTGGGCTTCCTTTTCTTGGAATTTCCATGGAAGTGAGAGCACACCTCTATAGAGAAGAAAACAGGGAGTGAAGTCAGTCAACATTTCAAGTGTGAGAAAACATCTTTTGCTGCTTCTGTCGTATCACAGAGCAGCCTCCTGAGTGTTTAATTAGTGTTTTTCAAATGTGTTTTAGTAGAATTCTTCACCTGTCCTCAGTACTGTCTTGCTTTTCTGTACACGCTGCCATGATGTCTTGTTTGACACTTTCCACCCCATGATTTCAATAGAAACTTATCAATTACCTGCCACTGCATTAGGACCTGGAGGATATTTCTTTATTTACATTATTTATTATCCAACTCATTTCACAGAGGATTAAGCCATATAGTGTTGAGCCAGTAACCTACCTCACAAACCCTTTTTTTTTTACTTTTGGTCCAGGTCCCAGAAAGATATTGGATCCAGACAACACTTATTTACTTGGAATCTGTTTTCCAAGAGAAACACAAATATACTAAGGATTTCAGTTTCCAGAAAGATATTGGATCTAGACAACACTTACATGAAATCTGTTTTCCAAGAGGAATACAAATATACTAAGGATTTCTGGAGTAGAGCTACTTAGTATAACAGAGCACCCAACTGGAAACCCAGATAGCTAGCGCTTGATTGTTGGCAATAGAATCAAAGTCACATAATCCCTGAGTTCCTGTAGTTTCCCCATTTGTTAAAGGAGGTGGTTGGATCAGATCTGATATTCTAAGAGTATCTAAATTACAAATGAAGGGGTCTCATAGCATTTCATAGAGTAGCTGAAATCAGCCTTAAAACCGATTGCCAGCTGCCAACAAGCTGGGAAGAAAATGACTTGGCACACGTTGCTGTTTGTGTGGCAAACGCTCTCTTCTGTCTTGCATGTGTCAAGAACACACTGCAGAGATACCCATTTCCCCTGGGCAAATAAGAAGCCTAGGACCATGTGACTCTAGGATCTTGTTACTCAAGGACCAGCAGGAGCTTCTTAGAATCAGATGCCTGGGCCTCACCCCAGGTCCCAGATCTGTGGGGTCAGAATCTGGGTAACCAGGTTTCTCAGGTGACTTGGATGCAAATTAAAATTTAAGAATTGCTGCTCTTTGATATATCAAGTCATCAATGAGGCAACTTGCAGGATATAAATACTGTAAAACGTATTGTCCCTACGCATGTATAATATGTTCTAATGCCAATTTACACAGAGCTATTCAGACATTTCATGAGGACTTCCGCTTCTGGTAATGGCAAATTATTGGGTTGTCGGAAAAGTCATGACATATTTTTTCTATGTTTTTCGTTGCAAAAGTGCATCATGACTTTTCCGACAACCCAATATTTGTACTAACTCTTTCGTTGAAGACAGCTAAATTAAGCTAGACCAAATATAGATATAGATATAGATATAGATATAGATATAGATAATTTTTTTTTTAAGTTTCTTAGGGAAGGCAGAGAGGGGAGCCCAGCACTTCAGGTGGCTCTTACCTTCAAGGTATTCATGACACTAAGCTGCAATTTTAGGAGCTTCATGGAATTAGGGGGCCGAAGGTTAGAATCCTGAGTCAGTCAAGGGTAGAGACCCTGTAAACACCTACTTTGGGCTAGGACTCTGAAAAGCTGCCTTGAGGAGTAAGGGAGGCCTGGAAATAGGCAGCTTTTGAACAAACTGTCCTTTGACCTTGAATCATCTTTGCTGGTCCAGAAAAATCTCAATTAAGGTGCTTCCAGATAACTAGTGCCCTTAAAAGTAATTTAAAAAATTCTTTGGAGGAAGAGAACATCATGCAAGTTCTTAACTTGTTTCTACAAATAACTTTTCAAATGCAATGTCCAATAAACAATCAAGGTAACCAAGTATATTAAGAGATAAGACCACATGACAAGGAAACTTGGGGAGGTGTCGTCCGATATGTCTATTACCTTGATTGTGGTGATGAGGCTTTTGCACAAAGGTGTGTGCATACATCCAATCTCTGTGTCCCTCGTTTTCGGAGGAAAGGGTGGTCCTTTCTTGTTATAGGGAGAGCACCACTCATGAGGGCCCCATGACCTGCTTCAGGGGAAGGTCAGAGTCCTTCCTGCACCTGCCATTTCTCAAACTCCTTCAGCTTAAAATATTCAATATGCCAAGGTGCCCTGCTTTGGGGTGGTATGTCCTCAACGCTGTCAGGCCCAGAGTTTCTGTTTGGGATGATAAAAAAAATTCTGGAAATGGATAACAGTGATGGTTGCACAATACTGGGAAGGTGCTTAATGCCATTGAATTGCATGCTAAAAAATGGGTAAAATGGTAAAAATTATGTTAGGTATATTTTACCACAATAAAAAATTACCAAAACAAATTGAACTACAAGGAGACAATAGTAGAAAACCTACAATCTATCCTAGATTTTATTAAAAAGTTAAAGCTCCTTATAAATTCAGTTGTTTTGCGATTACTTTGAATTAAGTAAGTTTTGCGAGTTAGCATTCTCTCCTATCTTAGCTATGGCTTATGACTTTACACAGTGAACTAAAACGTGTTTTTTAAACAGAGAGGTTTATAGTTCAGATGGAAAAAGATGGCTCCTGTAATAAAAACAAGAAAGTCCCTATCTTTTTCATTGGCTGGAAGAGAAATAGAACCAGCAAATCTGTCCCTTTTAGCAGAAAACGGAGCCTGAGGTCTTTGTCCCAGTTGTGGATTTAAGTAAACCAAGTGCTTATTCAGTGTCTTACATTCAGATTCTGTTTTTAAATCAGCGCATGGCACATCGGAGGGGTTTAGGGCACAGAACTTGAATAGTCAAGGCTCTTTTAGGTTCAAGAAAATTGTTTTCAATTTTCCTTTGATTGGAGCAGTTTCTCTTCCTAAGGGGAAATTTAGATCATTCTGTTTCACCTTCCTTCTTGGTTTTAAGTTCCTGAAGGACAGGGACTTATTGAATGTATTTTCCTTCTATGTAGATAAAACATACAAATTTAGCATAAATTGTACATTCAAGTGAATCAGTGATATCCAAGATTGTTAGCTTAATTCTTAAGATAAAATTTAATACATTGAATACATTCTCTTCTATTGCCAACAATGAACTTTGATTTCTCTACTCCGCTCCAGTAAAAGGTATTTAAATTAATTTCATTTGCCTGGAGAGAGGGAAGGTAGTGCCACAGCTATTAGAAAGTGTGCCTTGTCTTAAATGTACTGTTCAACAGGCTCCACAAATCTTCCCCAGCTTAAATCCATTTGCAAATGCCGCTTAGGTACTTCCGGTGTGTTAGGGACTTTGGGGAAGGAAAGGAGCAAAGAAAATGCCTGCGGTCTGGGGTTTTCTGGTCAGGAGGGAGGTAGCCTTCCCTGCCCTCGGGCTTTGCACACAGTAGAGGTTTAATACATTTAACTTCAGGGAGAAAAAAGTAAATGATAGAAGACATCATACAAGAATAGGATGTGATTCACATAAGTGCAGGGAGAACATGCTATTCTTTGCATAAGGATAGGTAGTGGAAAACTTTAATTCTAGGTGTTACATAGTCACCAACTTAAACTACCAGCATGTGATCATTTAAGGAGTTAGGACAGTATGATGACCTACAGGCATACCTCATTTTATTGCACTTCGAAGCTTTATTGTATTACACAGACATGTTTTTTACAAATTGGAAACAAGACCCTCCACCAGCAAAAGGATTACGACTCGCTTTATTGCCATGCTCTATTGGGGTGATAAGAACCAAACCCGCAATATCTCCAAGGTATGCCTGGATATAGATTTCTTGAGCACAGGAAGCAGGGCTTCTAAGTTAAAAAGGTAATTACAGGATTTGTAGGGTCAAATTATCTGAATAAGCAGGAAGTATGCAAATTCTTTGCCTTTTTGAGGTACTGTTACAACATTGACCTAAATAATTAGAATTTTTCAGAATTTAGTGTTCACTTTGCTTCCTTTTCTTTTGTGCAGACTAGGATCTGGGAGATCAGTTTAATTCAAAATAATTTTCTGAAAACCCAGTAACTGTTGAAACCTTAGATCTAGTTTGTTCAAGTACTAAGTTCTTAAGTCTTACTTTTAGCACTTGAATGGCTATTTACCTAATACTATAAATATTAAATTTTATCGTAAGACTTAAGCTAATAATCTTGGATATCACTGATTTACCTAAATGTACAATTTATATTAAATTTTTATGCTTTTTGTCTACATTGAAGGAAAATACATTCAATTAAAAAATCATGGACTACACAACATAGATCTTTAAGCTGTATCCGCTAGGAAACATAAGCAATGGCCTCTTTTTTTTTAAGTAGAAGTGAGGTGAATGTGTGTTAGCAGTGATAAGATTCAAATCAGTAATCAGAGAACACACCTCGTGATATGCCCCAGCCAGCATCTCTTTTGAGGGGAATTACTCCTTTTTGTCTAGAACTGATCCTGTAGCTCCCCAACCATGGCTCTGACATCGCTCTTTCCTGGTTTCTGCCAAATTGCAGGGAGAAGAAAGGCAAATTGTTCTTGGGATTTTAAAGTCCGGATGAGCTAGTTTGGGATTTAGGAGCTCCTGGTGGACCTCACAACAGCCAAGGTAGACCAGGGTGCAAGGCTCTAGGCAGCAAGGACCTCTGTGCTGATACCTAAAAGGTGTTGACCATCTTGTCTTGTCAGTCCCTTTAATCCCGTTACGATCATGAGAAGGTAGTCTGTTCTCCACAACTACTGGCAATGAGGCATGTAAGCCTCTGAAATGAGGGTTCCTGGAACTTTATTTAACATGAGAGGACAATCCCTAAATAGGAGAGCCATGCTGCGTGGCTCATAGATTAGTCCACAGTGAGAAGCCAGATTATCATTATGGCTGCCTGCCAAATAGGTCATGTCACCTGCTCTAAACATGCCGGAGGCTCCCATCTGACTGCACCTTTCTCTGAGGTAAAGCCCGATGGTCCATATGGTACCCCCACATCTCACCTCTAGCTCCTCTCCTTCCTCCTCTTTCTCCCTCATTCTGCTCCGGCCACCCAGGCTCCTGGCACACACTTCCTTGGAACCCTTGGGCTCCCTGTGACCTCTGCCTTACAGTTTCCCTCTAAAAGTTTGCATGGGTCACTCCTTTACCCCCTTTAGCTCCTGGCTGAAATGTCACCTGCTGACACTATTTAAAATAGCAACCCATAACAGCGGTTCGAGTCCAGCCCGAGCTGAGCAGCCGCTGAGCTGCCAACAGGTAGCAGGATGGCTCAGCTAAAAAAACAAACAAACAAACAAAAAAAAACAAAAAAAATAAATAAAATAGCAACCCTTACCTCTGGCCACATAATGTGCTCAAAGCTACTAAATGGGACCTGGGCTTCAAATCCACTGTCTCTACCAAAACCCTGATCTTCTCAGCATCCCTTGTTTCCATGTGTGACTCTTTTTTAAAGCTTATTCAAGGTTTCTAAATGGATGTGTTATATGCATGATGTCAGTCATTTCTTTAGGGCTTTTTCCCCCCATAGTTTTTGTTCAGAAACTGTTCAAATGCTGTCTTAATTTGAAGTGTAAATACATTAAGCAGAAAAAGGCAGAGTTGCTGTGACTGAGGTTGAGTTGGGGTCCTAAGCCTTGTCCCCTCGGCTTCCTGGTCCTCTTGTCAGCCTCTGTGGGGATCCCCAGAGCTGCTGCTGCCATGCCAGACTTCCAATCCATTCCCTCAGGCACCCACAGCCTGAGTCTTCTCTGAAAGCTGCTCAAGCTTTTTAATCAGCCTCCGTGTGGAGGTTTGCCAGGAAATCTTGCCCTATCGATGCAACTTCAGCAGCACATGACATTGACGTTGTAAAAGAAACACCTGCAATCAAATGCAATGATTTTGAGGACAGCTGCCAAATTCTTGGCTTTGGCATCTCCCGTGAATGTTGAGATTTCTTTTCTTTTTTATGAATTATTTTTAAGGTATTGACTTTGCCACTCGGAAGATAGCCAGCCTGCTGAAGCCACAGAAAGTGATAGAGCAAGATGGGGATTCTTTCTCCATCCACACGTACAGCAGCCTAAGGAACTACCTTGTTAAATTTAAAGTGGGAGAAGAATTTGATGAAGATAACAAAGGCCTGGATAACCGAAAATGCAAGGTAAAAATTAAAAGAATGACATAGGCTCTTATTATGCAAAGCGAACCCTTACTCTACTTAATAGTAACCGAGGATCCTACCAGAGCAAACCAACATTTTCTCTCCTGTCTTTCACTCAGAGCTTGGTCACCTGGGACAATGACCGACTCACCTGTGTCCAGAGCGGGGAAAAGAAGAACAGAGGCTGGACCCATTGGCTTGAAGGGGATGAGCTCCACCTGGTACTTGCCACATTTTGTTCTTGATCTTTGATGAGATGATGTGGTATTGATGAACATGTGAACCATCACCAGCCATCCTACCATTCCAGCCCAACTGTTTTCAACTGGGCATGTTGCCTTCCAGTCTATGTCAGAATAGCCTGTCTTTTCACTTAATGTAAAAACATATCCCAGGTCTCTCAATAATTTTCCTGTTGAAGTCATCATGTGTTAATGGAATATATAATAAGGTAGCAAACTGGCTGCATAACATTCCATCATGTTAATGAACTCTCCTTTTAGTAAAACATTTTCTTAAAAGTGGCCAGGAGTATTGTTTCAGGGTGTTTGCTGCTATTGCTTAAATTTATGTACATGGAGCTTTTTTGCATCCATGGATTTATTCCCTTGGGAAGAATTTGCAGAAGGGATCACTGTGGTCGGAGGCACACACACCATTGCTTCTTGTTACTTTGTTGCCTTTCTCAAATCCAAAAGGGCCTATCAATGTCCCATGCCACCAGCACTTCATGAACATACAAATTATAGCTCAATCAAATCAATAATTTATTAATATAATCTTGAAGGCATGAAACTGTACCTCAAGGCTCAATCATGGCTATTTAAGTAAGAATTCCTTTCTGCCATACATATGTTATGATGGCTTACATCTTTCAAGTGATGATTTTATGCCCAATCACTGCTAAATAAATCCTTTGAGTGCATTATCTCACTTAGTTTTCAAAATAATCCTATGAAAAGGACACTATTTTTCCCACTTACAAATGAAAAGATTGAGATTTTTGAAATTCCCCAAGGCTGCAGAGGGGAGATTCAAATCTAGGTTTAACAAGAATGTGTGCTTTCAACTTTATGCCTTCCCAACCCCACTCCCCCCGCGGTGTTGAAATTGAGGTGAGATCCATGAAAACAAAATTAGAGCATTTATCTTCAAGTTGCGAATGGTAGAAAATAAGGGGCTGGGGAGTCTTGGACTAGAGGCGTTGAAGGTGTTTTGATTCTAGGTTGACAAATCTCAGACTATTCTGACGATAAAAACAAAGTTAAGAAACTGGTCATCACAAAAATGTAATATGGAACTGCAAAGAAAATACAAATATGTTTGAGGATTTTGATTGGTTGGCTGGAAGAAGTCATGTTCAAATGGCATGCCTCCTCCTTTGGCATATCTGGGAACTCTCCCAAAGCAGAGCATGGAAGATCCTTGCTCTAACGATACTCACAGGATAATCCTTACATGCGGTGACATAATAATAAATATTTGGTCTTTGTACCTGGTTCCTAAAACCCTTGGAATCTCCAACATGATAAGAGTGTCTTCTGTACGCTAATGAGATGACTGGTGATTGGGGGCCCCCAGATAGCTTCAGAATGGTGGCCTATCCCTAGAAAGATTAGAGGGCTGGAACTTTCAGCCTGGCCTCCGCCTCTGGGGAGAGGAGAGAGACTGGAGATTGAGTTAATCACCAACAGCCAATGGTTTAATCAATCGTGCCTATGTAATGAGACATCCATCAAAGCCCCTAAGTGACGGGGTCCAGAGAGCGTCTGGGTTGGTGAAAATATTGAAGTGCTGGGAGGGTGGCATTCCTGGAGAGGGCACGGAAGCGTCCTACACCCCTGCCCCAGTACCTCTCCTATGCATCTGTTCCATCTGGCTGTTCCTGGGTTGTAGCCTTTATAAAAAAGCCTGTACATGTAAGTGAAGAATGTTCCTGAGTTCTCTGAGCCATTCTAGCAAATTACTGAACCTGAGCAGGGAGTCACGGAAACCCCCAATTTGTAGCTGGTTGGTCAGAAGTATAGGTGGCCTGGGACTGATCATCGACATCTGAAGTGGGGGCAGTGAGACCTTAATCCCTGGGGTCTGTGCTAACTCTGGGTCATGAGTGTCAGAATTGAGTTGATTTGCTGGACACCCATTTGGTATCAGAGTTAGAGAAGTGAGGTTCAAAAAGGTGGCATATATTTGGTGTCAGGAGCTAAAACCCCACACAGTCGGTGTCAGAAGTGTCTAATAACAGACCACATGCCAAGTCATCTTCTTCCTTCTTCCCTTCCTCCTGATCCCTAGGAAATGTTCTGTGAAGGCCAAGTGTGCAAGCAGACTTTCCGGAGAGCCTGATCCGTCTCCAACAACAGAGCCATGTGTGGCTGCATCTCAGCGCTGAATTATATTCCAGAATGAACAGATGTTAATCTGTCCTGATTTGGTGATGGGCCTTGTAGTCAGATAGATGTCACACTGCCTGTATGAGAAAGCATTTGGATTGTGGGAAAACGGCTCGGCCTCAATAAACCTGTCCAACGACTCTGACTTTTCCCCTCTAAATGTTAGCATATCCCATTATTTTAAGAAGTGTTTGGTATACGCTGGACATACCGATGAGTAAGATGGAATTCCTGCCTTCGAGGTCTGGTGGGGAAAATGGATGGAACAAGCAGTCTGAAGGGTGGGGATAAGTACAGGCAGCTGTGAGAGCTCGGGAGGCGCACGCCTGCCTTTGAGGGATGGGCAAGTGGTGGCAGGGGTGTGGGGTAGTAGAGGTGATCTGGAAGCTAAGACAACAACAGGTAAGCAGGAAGCACCGGGAAACATTCTAGGTGAAAGGCTGCGGGTATGTTGGAAGGACGGGTGAGGAACTGAAAAGATTGCTTTAGCTGGAGCATGAGTGTATGTGGGTGGAGGGGGAGAGGTGACAGAGGAGAGTGGAATGACAGGCAGGGGCGCTGTCACGAAGAATCTTGAATGCCAGGTTTAAGAGGTAAGACTTGTGTCCCCAAAGTCATGGGAAGATGGTGACCAGTATTAAGAAGAAACTCTGACTCATAGAAAGGAACTCCAACTGCAGAGGGAAGGAAGGATTGTAGGTGGGGGTGCAACTGGGGAGGCAGTTGAGAAAGGCTTAGTAGAGATCACTGTGTGAAGTGAGGTGGGTCAGTAACTCCAGGTCTCAACTACTGGGAACGGACCCTTGGGCTGGAGAGAAATAGCCAATGATTTCGGAGGCAGAATCCATAGTCCGAGGTGGTCGATGTGACGTAGGGATGAAGGATTAAGGAGGAATCAAGGCAGATGCCCTATTGTGGGTTCAGGCAGCTATAGGAAGGCTGGAGGCAATCAGAAAGAAGGGGGTACCACAGGCAGAAGGGGGAAGCGGAGTTGCAGCTTTAGATTTTGAGGTGCCTGTGCCTAGTGAGGGCCCGGCTGTCAGGAGGCAACGTACAGACGGCTGTGGAGACAGGTACAAGTTGTCATGCATATAAACTATGCATATGGATAATCTGTCCAGGACATTGTGTTCACAGTGAGTCGAGAAAAAACGTTCTGTACAAATCCTGCAAAGCAAGGGTGACCGGAAGGGCTGGGGAAACAGAGAGGCATCAGGGGAGCAAGGAAGAAAATGTTTCTGGGTCGAGGGAGTGCTCGGCCCTTGCCGAGATGCCCGCGTACCAATAAGGCAATGGTGCAATTCCTTGATGGTGGTAAGAGCTACAAAAAAATGGAGGGGGCAGCAGGATGATGGTGATGCCCTTTTAAGTAAGATGGTTAAGAAAGTGTCAGGAAGATGTGGCGTTTAGGCAGAGTCTAAGACGAGGGAACAAGCTTTGTGGAGATCCGGGGGCAGAGAACAAGTGCAAGGGCCTTGGGGTGAGAGGGTGTGTGACGTGCCGGCAGTGAAGCCAGAGGGCAGAGGGAGCAAGGCCAGGAGTAAGAGGAAATTAGCCTTTGGCAGAGCCAGGTGACTTTGAGCGATCTTTTCTGCCTGGTTACTGCTTTGCAGCCCTTGGAAGTATTATACCAACTTCAGTTTAGGGTACAGAAGCAATTGATTTTTGTTTTCAGTTCTTCAAGGTGCCAGGGGGCTTTGAAAGCTCAGGTCACAGTCACAGAGTGTCTTAGCAAAGCTGTGTGCCCTTCTGCCTCCACGTGCAGGCGAGCCTGCTCTAGTCTGGCCGCCTCTTCTCATCCACTCTTCTCGCCTCTTCTCATCCACTCTTCTCGTCTAAGACTTGACTGAAAGCTGCAACAAGTAGCCAGCACCAGTTCTCTCTGCCTTTCTTGTATAAACCATAGTTCAGATCAAGCAAAGAGTTAAGGAAGGCAAGTTCTTATTTATAGAAGAGTGCCAACTACTAGACATGAAAAGAATAATAGATTTAGAAGACCAACACTTTTCAATCCTTAATGAAAGCCTGGACCTGCGCAATGACTGTCAGTGGCCGCTAAAAGCGTTAGATGAAGAGTTAGTGGGTTCTTTAAAATGCACGAGTCGGGCTGACGCCACCCAAAGGAACCAAGCAATCAATCTTATCACACAAGGTGGGGACAGGCACTGTGTGATGCAATGAGAGGTACAACAGGGGCACCTGCGACTCCTTTCCAAAAAAGAAAAGACAGAATCTAAATCAGCCTGTATGATTACTGGTTTATAAGGAATATGGGGAGATAGAGGGACATGTCACACAACACCATCAGTCAAATCTAGGATGTGGGGAATTCAATTCTAGAAGATAAATAAGTGGTTACTTCACGTAGTAACAGAGCATGATAAAGATGGGGTAAGGAAAAGTGTCCTAAATTAAAAGGCAAAGGAGCAGGAGTCATATCGATCAAATGCAATGTGTGGATCTTGTTTATATCCTGATTCAAATAAGCCAACCATAAAAAGATGTCTTCTAGGTCATTAGGGCAATTCGAACATGGAGTAGATAAAAAATGATCAGTTTTCTTCGTGTGTTAATGGTATTGTGTGTGTGTTTTAACTTGTCTTTTAAAGACATGCTGACATATCTACAAGTAAAATTATAGGTTTAAAATTTACCCTGAACCATTCTAGCAAAAAACAAGAAAGCAAAAACAAAACACTAGGTGTATAGATGAAACAGGGATGCAAACTTTTTAATAATTTATTGGAGCTGGGTATATATGGGTGCGGTAGAGAGAACTGTGTCCCCTCCAAATTCATAAGTTGAAGCCCTAACCACCAACATGACTGTATTTGGAGGTAGGGCCTACAAGGAGATAATTAAGGTTAAGTGAGGTCATACGGGTGGGGCCCTGATCCAACAGAATTAGTGACCTTAAAGAAGTGACTCCAGAGCTCGCTCTCTCTCTCTCTCTGTATGCTCAGGGGTAAGGACATGTGAATATGAGGGACTGTGTTCAAGCCAGGAAGACGGCTTCACCAGGCGCCAAGTCCTCTGGCATCTTGATCTGGGTGTCCAGCTTCCAGAACTGTGAGAAGCAAATTTCTGTTGTTTAAGCAGCCCAGTCTGTGGTATTCTGTTGTGTCAACCCAAACTAAGAAAGATTTTGGCACCAAGAAGTGGGGTGCTACTGTAACATGTATCAAAAATGTGGAAGTGGCTCTCAGACTGGGTAATGGGTAGAGAGGCTGGACGGCCTTTGGGGTGCATGCTAGAAAAATCCTGGATTGCTGCGAAGGGGCTGTTGGTGGAAACGTGGGTGTTCAAGGCCATTCTAACGAGGTCTCAGACAGAAACGAGAAACGTGTAATTAGAAACTGGAGAAAGCTGTATCCAAAATGTGTGTAGCATCAACTAATAGAAAATGTGACTAACCATAGCTTAAATGTGTTTTGTTGTTGTTGTTGTTGTTTGTCTTTTAAAATCTCATATAACAAGTTGAGAGAGGCAGTCCAGCTCTGGGGATGCCGCTTGAGGACACCAGGAAAGATCCAGGAACTTCTCTCTGTCTATCTTGGACAGGAGGGACACACAACAACTTCAAATGACTTACCTTTGAGGAAGAGGAAGGGGCAGAGGCTGGGGGCGCTCTCATTTCTTTTCTTTTTAAGTGGAAGCGATATTGAAATTGATATCTTTCCAAACAGTCAAACTGAAACTTTTCCCCAAATATGGACAGCTTTCCCTTCACCACAGCAAGTAAGGCCCCTCCCAGCAGAATCATACATGGTGGGAATGAGGAAGAGGAGGATTCTGGGAGAGGATGAGGGAGCTGGAGGCTGGAAGCTGCAGACCAAGGCGGCCCCAGACCCTCCCTGTCAGGCGGCCCTGAATGCTATGTCTCTTTTTCCACTTAACAATGTGCGTACCAGCACATGTACCACGTAGAAAGGCCTGTCCATGGGCTGGTCCCCAACTCTTCAGGGAACAGTGAAGGGACCAAAAACCAATTAGGAAAAGGTGAGCAATGTTGCAGGTGGGGAAGAGAAGCCACAGACTCTATGCCCCAAATTGCTGAAGACAGGGACTCAAACAAATCCGTGTATACAAATGTTCAAGGCAGTGCTATTCACAATAGCCAAAAAGTGGAACTAACCCAAGTGTCCATTGACAGATGACTGGGTAAACCCCAAGAGGTATATTCGTGCAATGGCTGTATATTATTTATGGCTGAATATTATTCAGCCATAAAAGGGAATGAAATTCTGACACATGCTACCATGTGGATAAACCTTGAAAACATTATGCTACATGAAAAAAGCCAGTCATAAAAGATCACATATATGATTTCATTTTATATGAAATGTCTAGAATAGGCAAATCCACAGAGACAGAAAATAGATGAGCGTTTACCAGGGGCCAGAGAGAAGTCATTGCTTAATGGGTACAGAGTTTCTGTTTGGGGTAATGAAAGGGTTTTGAAATTTGAGGTGGTGTTTGTGCAACATTGTGAATGTACGAAAGGCCACTGAATTTTATACTTTAAGATGGTTAATTTTGTTGTATGAATTTCACCTAAAACCAACCAAATAAAAAACTGACAACAAGGTGGAGGGGTCACTTATATTGGAGCAGCAGTTCTCAGACCTCCCAAGAGGCTGAGTCAATAGTTTATATACTGGGCCCTTGAATCTGTCATTTTAATAAGCAGCCCAGGAGATTTTGACATAGGCCATCAAGGACCACACTTTGGAAACCCCTGGGCCAGAGTGTGGGATAGCACATCCAATAGAATAATTTGCTTGTCTTGATGGAGAGGAGCGAGATGGTGGTTCTAGGTGTCAACGTCCTCAATAAATGAAGGGGCTGAACAGAGTGTCTGTAGAGCTCAATAACATGAACCTTAAAGGGAATGAGGGTTATAGAATAATGGGGTGTTGGTGATAATAGAGTGGCAGTGGCGACTGTAGAGAAAGCTGACCCCCACATTGGGGGAGAAAAAGGCAGCCATCAGCCGTTGGCAGCTCCAGGTTCAATGAAGACAAAGAGCATGTCCCCTGATGTATCAGTTTGCTGTGGCTGCCATTACAAGAAACCACATACCCTCAGAGATCGGGAGGCTGGAAGTCCAAGATCAAGGTGCCCGCAGGGTTGGCTTCTGGTTGGTTTGCAGACAGCCAC